AGGGATTTGTGGGGAAACATTTGGGAATACAGATTCTGAGAATTGAGATACATTTGAGAATACAGAAAAACCCTGGATCAATAAAATGAATAGTTCCAATCAGGGATGCGCGGATCATCAGATCCGAATCCGGAATCCGGATCGGATGGTTCATTTTTCCGGATTACGATCCGAACCATAATTCGATCCGATCCATAATGCGATCCAATTCATAAACCGATCCAATCCATAAACCGATCCAATCCATAAACCGATCCGATCCATAATCCGATCCAATCCATAATCCGATCCAATCCATAAACCGATCCAATCCATAATCCGATCCAATCCATAATCCGATCCAATCCATAAACCGATCCAATCCATAAACCGATCCAATCCATAATCCGATCCAATCCATAAACCGATCCAATCCATAATCCGATCCAATCCATAAACCGATCCAATCCATAAACCGATCCAATCCATAAACCGATCCGATCCATAATCCGATCCGATCCATAATCCGATCCAATCCATAAACCGATCCGATCCATAATCCGATCCAATCCATAAACCGATCCAATCCATAAACCGATCCAATCCATAATCCGATCCAATCCATAAACCGATCCAATCCATAAACCGATCTAATCCATAAACCGATCCAATCCATAATCCGATCCAATCCATAAACCGATCCAATCCATAAACCGATCCAATCCATAAACCGATCCGATCCGATCCATAATCCGATCCAATCCATAAACCGATCCGATCCATAAACCGATCCAATCCATAATCCAATCCGGAATTTTTTTTTGACGTTAAATCCGATTCCGGAGCGGAAATCTCCGGATTCCAGATTGAAAAACAAGAAATTTTGAAGTGGAACAGCTATGCATTCTTGCGTCTTCAGCCGAACGTCTTTTCACAACGTCTTTTCAGCTCAGTTCGTTTTCTTTTTAAACGATTAACTCCTGAGACTCTAAAAGATTAATTTTTTTTTGCATTCTAATTTTCCTATTGTTGACTTTGATTGTTAGTTATGAATTGGTGTTGATTGTTGTTGTTGATGGACTTTCTTTGTTTATATGTTTTTGACTTTTAAATTCGTTGTTAATGTTGTTTTTCAAATAAATAGTTGTCAAATAAAACAAGATTTGTAAAAGATAGTTACAATTAAAAGCATGAAATATGATTTTGATCCGAATCCGGTCTGGAGTCTGGACCACCAGCTCCGGAATCTGGATCACCAGCTCCGGAATCTGGACCACCAGCTCCGGAATCTGGATCACCAGCTCCAGAGTCCGGATCGCCGGCTCCGGCGTCTGGATCACCGGCTCTGGATGATCCTAGCCCTAGTATCATCAAAGTTCTTACTTTTTCCACCAAAAAATCCACTTCTAAACAACAAAATCTTTTCAAAATACGTTTACAAAGCGAGCTCTCCATTTTTTGCTCGAGTTCGAGTCCTCGCCTCGTAAATTTGAGTCGAGACTTTTGCCAAGAAGCCATGATTGTTCCAAAAAGCCGGGCAATAGCTGTAAGTAAAGAAATTTGGATTCTTATGCCATTGTCACGAAAAAGACTCACTCAAAACTCTAGTGTCATCTCCGTTTCTCACTTTTACCACCTAAAGATCACTTTCAATCATTTTCTTCACTTCTAAACAACAAAGTACGTCTAAATACGTCAACAATCTTTTCGAAATACGTTTTCAACCAATTTATCGCACCTTTCAATCATTTTCTTCATAAAAGTGATCGTTTTTTGATTTTTAGAAGCAAATTCGTAGTGTAGCGCTCAGATTTTCTTTTTGATTTATCTATTTTGGGGTAAACATTTATGGGGTGCCGCCCATCATTAGGTAGTTTTATTTGGTTGTAAATCGATAAAGAAATCGTTAGTGAAAAGAAATCGTTAGTGAAAAGAAATCTCTAAGTGCTGATTTATCAGAAAAAAAACTTTAGTTTTCTCAAAAGAAACTTTTTCAAGGGAGTTTAGAGCTTTAAATATATTTAAATCGATATTTAAAATCTAGAATCTAAATCTAAATTTAAATCTAATCTAATCTAGAATCTAAATTTAAATCTAGAATCTAAATTTAAGTCTAAATCTAAATCCAAATCTAAATCTAAATCTAAATCTGAATCTGAATCTAAATTTAAATTTAAATCTGAATCTGAATCCAAATCTAAATTTAAATCTAATCTAATCTAAATCTAAATCTGAATCTAAATCTAAATCTAATCTAAATCTGAATCCAAATCTAAATCTAAATCTAATCTAAATCTAAATCTAAATCTAAATGTAATCTAAATCTAAATCTGAATCCAAATCTAAATCTAAATCTAAATCTAAATCTAATCTAAATCTAATCTAAATCTAAATCTAAATCTAAATCTAATCTAAATCTAAATCTAAATCTAATCTAAATCTAAATCCAAATCTAATCTAAATAATATAAATACTTGATTCAGAAAGAAATAAAGTGCGAAAATGACATGAAAAATGTACTAGATAAAAGATCACAAAGTCACTTCAAATGCAACGAAATAGCCCTTTTAAAATCAGACACGGTGGAGATCAAACACAACTTGTCGGGAAGGGCATTCCAAACTTTAGTCACACGATTTACGAAAAAAGCTCTAGAGGATTTAGAGAAAACAGATTCGGGATGCAAGATAAAAGAGCCACGCCTAGTCTAAATCTAAATCTAAATCTAAATCTAAATCTAAATCTAAATTTCAATCTAAATCTAAATCTAATCTAAATCTAATCTAAATCTAAATCTAAATCCAAACCTAAATTTAAAGTTTTCTCATACTAAAGTTGCTCATTTTACTCAAAGCTACAGTATTGTAATCATTTTTCAAAAAACGAACACAAGGATTAGCAATAGAACGCCAAAAAACGCCAAAAAAATGATATTTCTCACCATTCTGGAGACAAAAGGATTAAAATCGCTTGACTTGGGCAAATTTTTTGAGTTTTCTTTAGAAGAAATGAAACAAATGATGACTTTTGGGATTACTGTAGTCATGCTTGGGTTTTAGGGGAACACAATGGTGACTTTAAAGGCGAAAAGGGGCCACCATCCGCGTAAAATAAAGCAAAGAAAATCGCTTTCTATTCGATTTTGATGTTCGAATATCAATTCGATGCAGAAAAATGTGCTGAAAATGAATTTAGAAGAATTTTTTAAATCCATCTGACAGATTTTTTGAAAATCGATTTTTTTGTGTTTTCCAAGTAGAAAAAATGGGATTTCTTTTGTCTTTAATCATCCAGAACATATGGAAACTGAACCGAACAATGAACAAAACACATTTTCAGTTATGTAATAAAGTAAAGAAATGAATGGCAAAGAATTTGGAAAATTTGGAAATGAGGAGAATCGAACCCTCGACCTTCTGCTTACCAGCCAAATGCTCTACCACTGAGCTACCGGGGAATTCTTTGCTCAGGAAGAAATAGGAAACACAAAGAAGAAAAAGGAAAGACAAAGAAAAAGGAAGAAAAAAGAATGAGGGAGGGATAAAGGTCATCTTTGGTGGGACCGGCGAAGGTGTCCCTGTGGCTCAGTGGTAGCGGGCCAGGTTGGTAAGCGGAGGGTCGCTGGTTCGAATCCCGATGGTGCCCAGTAAACCAGTTCTTTTGCATTTCCATTTTGGGCTCGCTTAAAATGCAAGTTTTGTGAAAATTCGTAAAAAAATGTACACTAGGCCAGACGTAAAACTTGGAGAGTTTCAGGAAATGTTACTTCGAAAGAAATGGCAGAGAAAAATAGGCAGAGAAAAAAAGGCAAGATCTGGATATCCAATTTGGGCAACTTTTGCCGTGACACCAAGCTTTCCAGCAGTGCCCTCGAGAAACGATCCAATCCAACTCAGTGCCCTCGAGAAATTTCTAAGCTGACCAACGAATGTGATCATACTTTTAGCACGAGCATCTTGTTGTGGCAGTAAAATTTGTGCCGTATTCCGTCCACTGAATGTTTTTCCCTTTTCCAGTTTTTTTTTTGCAAAAACTAGCTACAGTATTGTAATGATTTTTTTGAAAAAAAACACAAGGATTTGCAATAGAATACGAAAAATGCAATAGAATACGAAAAATATGATATGATAAAGTGTTATTTGTCATCATTTTGAAAATAAAGATGCTTAGATGGCGCCAATTCATAGGCTAATCTTTAGCTCAAAAGCACATGACTTTTGAGCTAAAGATTAGCCTATGAATTTTCAAAAATTTCAAGTTTCAATTCAAATTTCAAATCAAATTTCAATTCAACATTGTGATTATTAAGAAAATTTATTTATTTGGGATTACTGTGGCCATTGTTCGGTTTTAAGGGACACAATGATTGCTTTAAGGGGGGTGGGACAAATGCGACCTTTTTTTGCTGGAAAAGGCCTTAGGCAAGGTCGTAGAGCTTCGAAAATATTTCCATAAGGGAATCGTATGCGTAGATTCCGAATTTCGACAAATCAGACCTCGCTGACACGTCAAATTTGGGCTAAAAGGCAAAAACTACGCAACTTAACGCTTTTCCGCAGTACATTATAACGCTTTAGCATACATTATAACGCTTGAGCTAGATCTGCCCAAACCTAGTCTGCTCCGAATCGAAATTCCATTAGAAGCATCTCTGGCATACGATTAACTGTAACTTGTCATCATTTCTTTTTCGGTCATCAAAACTCGTAATTCCAATAACCCTAATCTCACCAAATCTATTCCCTAGTATTTCTAGTATCGAAAAAGAGGATCCATTAGTGAAGTCAGTCAGAAAAACTCATCTAAAATGCCGTTTTGTGTCCATTGTGGTGCTTGCGGCTTCTAGGCAACGCGGATTTGAAAGAGAAATCGAAAAGAAAAGAAAAGAGAAGAAAAGAGAGAAGATCCACCCAAAGCTAAGAGATTCAAAAGCAGGTGACCCATCTAATTGTACTATTTGAAACCTAAAGCTACAGTAATTATATCTGCCGTACTCTAGTTTTCACAAATTTCCTTGAGCAATGTCAACTGTCGGATCGGCGTCGACTCCTTATCGGGGAAATGTAGGCTTTTTAGAATATTTAGATATTTAGATATTTAGTTATTTAGATAATTAGATAATTAGATAATTAGATAATTAGATAATTAGATAATTAGATAATTAGATAATTAGCTATTTAGATATTTAGATAATTAGAGAATTACAGGGTGACCAAGAATTACCGCAAGAACTTTTGAAAAAGTATCTAGAAATGTCTAATTTTTCTCAAAGTGACAGTGTTATATAGAGATTTTAGTCCTAATTTTCGGCAACATTTATCTCAAAAACTCCCCCGATTGGACCTATACAACTCATTTAACAAGCGCTTGAATGCGCTAGTCGACTTCCTTCAGCGAATCTGTTATTTGGCCGCTTTTCTCTATTGAAAATTGTTAAGAAAAGCTTTTCAATATTTCTTCAATGCAAAAATAGCGTTTAACATCACTTAATAACATTAAGAATTACACTTAACTATTTTGGCTGAACTGGAATCACCAATAGAGAAAAGCGGCCAAATAACAAATTCGCCGGAGAGATGTCGACTAGCGCGCATTCAAGCGCTTGTTAAATGAGTTGTATAAGTCCAATCGGGAAGTTTTTGGGAGATAAATGTTGCCGAAAATTAGGGCTACAATTCTCTATATAACACTTGCCACTTTTGAGAAAAAATTAGACGTTTTGCAGATACTTTTTCAAAAAGTTCTTGCGGTAATTCTTGGTCACCCTGTAGATATTCAGATATTTAGATAGTTAGACTTGTTAAATGTCTTAGCTAACTAACTAACTAAGTTACATGTTAACTTAGCTAACTAGAGTCTAAATTTCAGTTAGCTCTAGCTACAAATCTTTCAGCGTGAAGTCATTTCGATTCATGTCGGTCAGGCCGGAGTGCAAATCGGGAATGCGTGTTGGGAGTTGTATTGTCTAGAGCATGGGATTCAACCGGGTAAATAATAAAAATAGAAATTTAACACTCAACGCAATGTCAAATCTTACAATTGTCACATAATTGTGCAAGTTGTAAAAGAAATTCAAGTCTGTATTCTTCCCAATCGTATCGCACCTGGAGCGTCACCCTAAATTGCTTGAGATCTCGAAAACCGCTTGGCAGAACCGATCGAAAATATAGCTGACAATGAGATCTTGTGCGGGATTAGAGTTGCTGCAAAAACCTGGAAACCGTAAAACTTGGAAACCGTAAAATATTAGATTCACCGATAAATCTTTGGACACTCTTTGGACACTCTTTCAAGCTTTCCAGAAAGTCTTTTCGTTGCTCGTGCTCCATGTGCTGGCGCTCAGTCCTGTTGCAGCAAAAATGGCTGATTTTTGAAGTTCTGATCGACCCAGGGCTTTAGCAGAGCTCGAAGAATCTTGTCTTAATAAGTTTGAGCGTTGATTTTGACGTTTCTGTCGATGGCGATCGAAGAGATTTTGCCAGACTTCACTCCAGACCATCACAAAAGCCGGAAAATGAACTCTCGCTAAAATTTTTTGCTGTAGCCAAATGCTGTGGACCCTTCTTGAGGAGTTGTCGATGATTTTGGCAACTGTGCGCACGTTAGACTATGAAATAAAATGTCTAAAGACTTATCGGCTGGCCTAATAGTCACAAACTCAGTTTGGCCGGATGCAATTTTCTTAAGGAGAATACAGGATTGATTTTAGACGGAACAATGGTTGACGAGGTGGACTCGGGTGATGACGTCGAGTCATTCGGAACGTTTTTCGCCGAAACCGGTCGGTCCCGGTCATTTCTTCATTTCTTTAAGAAATCTAAGCACAAACTTTTTTAGCTGGAGGCAAGCACGTGCCCCGGGCACTCTTCATCGATTTGGAACCGACTGTAGTTGGTTGGTTGTTCTTTACTATAATAGTTTGTGCTCTGTAAATGCAGCCTTTCTGTGATGACTTTTCTAGTCCCACAGGTCGCACTAGCAGAATTGTTCTAAGTGAATTTCTCTAGTCCAGAAGGCAGCCCAGGTCCAGAACTTGACTTGGCATCCTAGCTCTTGCTTTGATTTGCTTTGCTTTGCTTTGCTTTGCTTTGCTTGGCTTGGCTTTGCTTGGCTTGGCTTGGCTTAGCTTTGCTTGGCCTGGCTTGGCTTGCTGCTTTGGCCTGGCTTGGCTTGGCTTTTTTAGCTTTTGCTTGGCCTGGCCTGGCTTGGCTTAGCTTGGCCTGGCTTTTCTTTGCTTTGCTTTGCTTGGCCTGGCTTGGCTTGGCTTGGCTTAGGATCTGGATAGAATCCAGAGAGGATGTGTTTACATTGACATTGACCTCACATTGACAAACACAAAGTATTCTAATAAACCGTCTCTAAGCTTTTTAAATCTACAATAAACTTCTAGACGAGGTTCGCACTGGCACTTACCGTACCCTGTTCCATCCGGAGCAATTGTTGAGCGGAAAAGAGGACGCTGCAAACTGTTATGCGCGCGGAAGGTACACGATTGGAAGAGAGATGATCGACGTAATGAAATTAAATGTAATTTCAATAAATTTCACCTCTAGGTGGTGATGGATAGACTGAAACGCTTGGCCGAGAACTGCTCGGGTCTTCAAGGTTTCCTCGTCTTTCACAGCTTTGGCGGAGGTACGGTTGTTCATTACTGGTCCAGTTTAGCCACGTAGTTCAGCCAGGGCATATAGCCAAGTCCAGGTCAAATCCCTTAGTAAGGCATAAGGCCCTGGCGGCCTGGCGGCAATGGTGTATGTGCCGGTGCAGCTCATTGGTAGAGCTTGCGGTGAGCTTGCGCGGTGAGCTTGCGGTGTAGTGGATAAGAGCTTTGTTTCCGAAACAAGCTATCAACTTTTTGCTCGGGTTCGATCCCTTCCTTTCGATCCCTTCCTTAACAAACAAAATAACAAAAAAGATTGGCACATGGCAGCTATAAAGGCTCATTCGATTTGGGCACCTCAGCTCTCCCTTGTGTGACCTTCCCTTGTGGATATTGCTCGAAATTTGATCCTTGATCCATTTTTAAACTAATTCTTTAAAATCCTAGGCACTGGCTCTGGATTTTTGTCCCTATTAATGGAGAGATTATCGATGGAGTACGGAAAGAAACCGAAATTGGAGTTCGCCATCTATCCAGCGCCACAGGTGACGAATTGAGCTCGTATTATTGAAAAAAAACTCGACTGATTGAGGGGTTTTAGCAGCTGTTTGGGTTCTTATAATTGTGGTACATTTGATACGCGTTCCACCCCTTTGCCATGCCATTGGCAATCTGACTTTGAACTCAAATTCCTTGGAGTTGAGCTGTCCAATTTAAATATTGGTTGTATCATTAGATGCGCCAATTCTTTCTCTGTCGATTGGTACAAAAATAATTTAAATTGAACAGCCCAACACCAAGATATTTGAGCTCAAAGTTAAATTGCCAATGGCAAAGGGAGCGGAGCGCCTTTTATACACCCTGCCCCTCGCCCAGCTCGCCCAGCCCAGCCCCTTTGCCATTGGCAGTCCAACTTTGTTCTAACTAGATCAAAGTAACTAGGTCAAACTAGGCAATCTAACTAGATTGCCAATGGCAAAGGGGGCGGGGCGTATAAAAGGCGTTCCGCCACCTTTGCCATTGGCAATCCAACTTTGAGCTCAAATATCTTGGTGTTGGGCTGTTCAATTTAAATAGTTTTTGTACCAATCGACAGAGAAAGACCTGACGCGTCTAATGATACAAAGAATGCTTAAATTGAACAGCTCAACACCAAGATATTTGAGTTCAAAGTTAGATTGCCAATGGCAAAGAGGGCGGAGCACGTATTAAACGTTCCACAATCGCCTAGGCTGGCCAGACTTGGCGCACCTACATTTAGAATTGAGCTACAGTTTATTTCATTAGAAAGGCCAATTATTTTGCTGTAAAATCACATTAAAATGGATTTTAAATGTCTTATGTCTGGATGTTTTTTGAGAGCATGAAGTCAGGTAAACAAAAAGAGCGATAGACGGCTCAAGAGACATAGACACTACAAACTATAAACGGAAAATCCAAACGGAAAATACAATACAGCTTCTAACTTTCTTCAAATCCGCCTGATTAATATGATTTATAGCTCAAAAAATAGAGAATCTCAAGAGCTTTCGAATGCAGCAAAGCACACCCAAAATATCAATACTAAAGGAAGTTACAGTAGCTTGTAGCCTGGCTCGATCGCTTCGACTACGATCCGTTACGATCCCATTCAGATTCAGCATCCTAAACTAGCATCTGGAATAAATCCAGCTTCGCTAAACTAGGCTAACTGGTTATACTCTATTATTTGCCTGTCCAGAAGTTTCTTTCAAGTTTAGAAAAGCTTCTAAATCAATTTTCCTTATTTCAATAGTTATTAGGCTGTCCAGAAAGTCTTTTCTTTCATTTTTGTACTTTCATTTCCATTTCCATTAAGACAAGATTCTTCGAGCTGTGCGAAAGCCCTGGGTCGATCAGAACTTCAAAAATCAGCCATTTACAATCAACATTTACAATTAAACTACAGTTTATTTCATTAGAAAGGCGAATTATTTTCCTGCAAAATAACATAAAAACGGATTTTAAATGTCTTATGGCTGAATTCTTTTGAGAATCTAAAGTCGAGGAGTCAAAATGCGGCTTTATGATGCAATTTTAGACACTTTAGTCTTCATTATCTAGTCAATTCAATCTCTGAATTCAGTTTTCATTTTCAAATTCCTCTTTCTAGTCAGTTCAAGGTCCAAATCACACATCATTTCTCGGGAGACAAATTTCCTAACAAAAATCGTCTCTAGTTTATCATTTCAAAGCTTCTCTAAGCTTTCTAAGCCTCTCAGGAATGCTTTTTTTCTTTTCTTTTCCTCCTTTTTTCCCACCGAAATTCCTTTCCGAAAAATTTACGATTATAATAAACTTTTTGATAGAACTTCCGGGTGTGAAAAGAAAAGTGTTTGGGGTTTAAATTTAGCCCACGTGGTGATAAAAAGGCTGAAAAGTAAAAGAAGTCCTCAAAGAAGTCCTCAGAGTACAACTTTTCGACGAATTTTGCGTCGAAACTGCTCGGAACTTTGCTCGGAAATTCTTCAGATTTTTCGTTCGTTTTGTCATCGGATTTTAAGCGATAAAGAGCTGATGTTTGTGTGAGAAAAAAGTGTTTATTGAAGATTGCTTGAATGGTCAGAAAATCTGGTCAGAAAGGCGAGGAATTCTTGTGAAAACGGAGAGATTTCTTGGGGATCTTTTGAAAAATGATCTAATATTATATGAAAAGTAAAATGACATTTTTTTATGTTAAAAAGGCTTTTTTAAAAGCCTACTGTACCGCAATTGAGCTACAGTTGAAATATTGCACTAGAAATCTATTAAATCAAGAATTGTTATGCGAAAAACCCAAAGTTTCGCGTTTTTCTTGGCTCTTTTAGGAAAATCGGCGTTTTTGACATTCCCGATCACGAATTGAGTAATTAAACCGATTGAAATGAATCGATTTTAACCATAAATCCATAGTTTTTAGTTATATGCCAATCATAATCATAGATCATAATCATAATCATCATTCTTTAGCTACTTAATTGACCTATTGGGTTGACGAATTGAAAACTGCGGGGCTTTGAACTAAAATTTATTCAAACCATCAATTCATTCCAAATCAAACCACCAATTCATTTCAAATAATTTCCATTATTATTGACGACTTCTACCCATTTTACAGGCAATTTCCGGATTCCTCTTTCGTAGTAGGATTTTGGTTTGTGTTTGAGACAAGTGTGAGACTCAAAAATGGAGGAATGTCCCAGTTTGAGCACTTTCTTCAAAAGAAACCCATTTTGGTGTCAATGGAAAAGTTGTAGAGAATCAAAAATTAGACTTATAGCCAAATTTCCAAAAAGATACACTTAGTAGTTTCGCTTAAAATGCAAGTTTTGTGAAAATTCGTAAATTTCGCATTTCTTGAAAACCAGTTTTTGAATCGTTTTGAAAATTTGGATATAAACTTCATTTTTGATTCTCTACAACTTTTCCATTGACACCAAAATGGGTTTCTTTTGAAGAAAGTGCTCAAACTGTCACATATAACAATAGCCCGAAGTTTTCAATTCACCAACCCAATATATGAAAAGTAAAATGACATTTTTTTATGTTAAAAAGGCTTTTTAAAAAGCCTACTGTATTACCGTAATGAAATATTGCACTAGAAATCTATTAAATCAAGAATTGTTATGCGAAAAACCCAAAGTTTCGCGTTTTTCTTTTGGGAAAATCGGAAAATCGGCGTTTTTGACATTACCGATCACGAATTGAGTAATTAAACCGATTGAAATGAATCGATTTTAACCATAAATCCATAGTTTTTAGTTATATGCCAATCATAATCATAGATTAAATTATAGTTCAACGTACTAGCAGTTTTCAATTCACCCGATTTCAATTCAATTCATCAACCTAATAATATTAGAATGTAGTGCTGGATCAGCTACTAAATTCAAAATTTGTTCTCTGTTTTTAACCTGTCAAACTGTCAACCCGTATAACCTGTAAACCTGTAAACCCTGTAAACCTGTAAACCTGTAAACCTGTAAACCTGTAAACCTGTAAACCTGTAAACCTGTAAACCTGTAAACCTGTAAACCTGTAAACCTGTAAACCTGTAAACCTGTAAACCTGTAAACCTGTAAACCTGTAAACCTGTAAACCTGTAAACCTGTAAACCTGTAAACCTGTAAACCTGTAAACCTGTAAACCTGTAAACGAAACCTTTCTGGAGCACTGATTCTAGATAATTCTAGATAATTCTAGCTTTTTTCTAATTCTAGATAATTCTAGCTTTCATTGTCACGAGCAAAAAGAATACAGTCCACTAGAAAGTGTGTGTTTAACAGATCAAAGTAGAGATTAAACACAGCCTCAAGCTTTTAGCCTCAAGCTTTTAGCCTCAAACTTTTCGAAATCCTTTTACTAGCTTTTATGATTGAAGAACAGAAAAGAACAGAAGCTGTTATTGTCGTCAAAAAAAAAAGCTAGTAAAAGTCAGTCTATTTTATCTAAGCACTAAACATTTTATCTTAAACATCTCTCTAAAAATAGCAAGGGTGTGGCTCGAACTTTTGTGTGTTCTTTAGAAATCACGCCAGCTATCTTTTACAACCCACCCAACCCACCCAGCCCCAAAAATATCAAATCTGAACTCAAAACTGAACTCAGAACTGAACTCAAAACGGAAATCATATCCTGTTTTCTAGACAAAAAAAAAAAAGATAGCCATTTTTTAACGATAATAACGAAATGTTTGACCGGAAATTGTAATTTACAATTGTAAATGTTTTGAATTCCATTCTAATATTTGCTTTTGAGCTTAAAGAGTGGTCAAATTATGAAGAATGTAGTGGAGAAATTATGAAGAATTTCGTATTTGAATTCGGAAATGATAAGAGGGGGAAAAGAGGGGGGGAAGGAGGGGGAAAGAGGGGGAAAGAGGGGGAAAGAGGGGGGAAGGAGGGGGAAGGAGGAGGAAAAGAGGGGGAAAGAGGGGGGAAGGAGGGGAAAAGGGGGGGAAAGAGGGGGGAAAGAGGGGGGAAAGAGGGGGAAAGAGGGGGGAAGGAGGGGGAAAGAGGGGGAAAAGAGGGGGAAAAGAGGGGGAAAAGAGGGGGAAAAGAAGGGGGAAAGAGGGGGAAAAGAGGGGGGAAAGAGGAGGAAAAGAGGAGGAAAAGAGGGGGAAAAGAGGGGGAAAAGAGGGGGGAAAGAGGAGGAAAAGAGGGGGGAAGGAGGGGGGAAGGAGGAGGAAAAGAGGGGGAAAAGAGGAGGAAAAGAGGGGGAAAAGAGGGGGAAAGAGGGGGAAAAGAGGGGGAAAAGAGGGGGAAAAGAAGGAAAAAAAGAGAAAGAAGAAACGTGCCACTAAAATGGGGGGATTTTACTTTCTCAATTTGGGGAGTGACAAAAATTGGAGAATATTTTAGTTTTTTTTTAAAGATATTTATTATGTACTTGGAAGATTTACGTAGAAATAATTTTAAGTAATTCTTAGTGATAAATTTAGGTGTACTTTATGCTCAAATTCGTAAACGGAGACGCAAAAATCGAGAGCACATTTTAAATAGCATTTTTCTCTCAAATTCTCTCAAATTCAACAAAAATTAACAAAAAAAGAAGCAGAAATTGGAAAATCTTTTGGGTTGGTGAATTGAAAACTGCCGGACTTTAAACTAAAATTTATTCAAACCATGAATTCATTCCAAATAATTTCCATTATTATTGACGACTTCTGCCCATTTTACAGGCAATTTGTGGATTCCTTTCTCGTGGTAGGATTTTGGTTTGTGTGTGAGACTTAAAAACATCTATATAGTCGGATTTCGGAGCAAAAACGGCAACAAGCAATCGTCCAACACATATATAGTCAAAACTGTTTCCGTTGACTTTTGAAGAGATTGATTGTTCACTAAAAGGGAAGAGCTATCCATCGGGACGGTGTGCCAGAAAGCTAGCGATTGTGCGGCTGCACAAAGAACATCTGGCCAGTCATTTCTTTGCTTTGTATTGGGTTGAAATCTGCCGGACTTTGAACTAAAATTTATTCAACATAAAACCATCAATTCATTCCAAATAATTTCCATTATTATAGACGACTTCTGCCCATTTTACAGGCAATTTGCGGATTCCTCTTTCGTAGTAGGATTTTGGTTTGTGTGTGAGACAAGTGTGAAACTCAAAAATGGAGGAATGTCCCAGTTTGAGCACTTTCTTCAAACGAAACCCATTTTGGTGTCAATAGAAAAGTTGTAGAGAATCAAAAATTAGGCTTATAGCCAAATTTCCAAAAAGATACACTTAGTAGTTTCGCTTAAAATGCAAGTTTTGTGAAAATTCGTAAATTTCGCATTTCTTGAAAACCAGTTTTTGAATCGTTCTGAAAATTTGGATATAAGCTTGATTTTTGATTCTCTACAACTTTTCCATTGACACCAAAATGGGTTTCCTTTGAAGAAAGTGCTCAAAATGTCACATAAGACAATAGCCGGCAGTTTTCAATTCACCAACCCGATTAGTTGACTGTTGCACTGTACACCTGATACCTGATGACGACTCGGGTCATCAAAAATGAGCCAACTTTCCAACTCATCCCCCATTTCACCAATGAAATAATTCCACTAAATGGATTGTAATGGATTTTACTAAATGCATTTCCGAGTCAGGCCAAAGACTGAAGCCAGCTCTCTGCCTGAACCAAGCTCTGGCTTTGCCTGGTTTGATCCAACTTTCCAACGATCCAATCCAACTAGAGCATTCCTAGTGCAAACTGTCACATATGACAATAGCCGGCAGTTTTCAATTCACCAACCCAATAGATATCAGCTCCAAATTCTTCCTCAAATATATCTGTTTTTGAAGAAAATCGAGAAGATTCCTGAGGATCCAGGAGCTTATCGATTTCTTTTTCGATATGTGCATGCTTGTGTAACTGTAGTCCTGTAGGGCCATCGGGCTTAAAACAGTGAATCAGCTGTTCGTTCTTCTTAAGGTTCTGCTAAGCGGTTTTCGAGCAATTTAGGCAACGCTCAGGGTGCACTACTATTAGAGAGAATACGGTATTTTAATTGCAAATCAATTACAGATATTCAGATATCAAATTCCAGGTTTCAACCTCAATGGTCGAGCCGTACAACTCAATCCTGATGACGCATACCACGCTGGAGTACTCGGATTGTACATTTATGGTCGACAATGAGGCGATCTACGATATTTGTCGTCGGAATTTGGATCTAGCAAGGTTTTTGGGGGATTTGGATCTAGCAACCTTTCCCTAATCCCCTTTTCAGGCCAACTTACACGAATTTGAATCGCTTGATTGCGCAAATCGTCTCCTCGATCACCGCCTCGCTGAGATTCGACGGAGCGTTGAATGTGGATTTGACCGAGTTTCAGACGAATCTGGTGATACATAGAAAATAAAATTGCTAGTGCCTAATGCCTAATATCTAATATCTCATATCTAATATTGATCTAATAATATCTAATATCTAAAAGTTGATTGAAGAAACCTTTGAATTTAAGTTTTAATCCTGAACCCGAACCAGGGATGAACCTAGGATCTGTAGGCCAGTCAGGACAAAGCCAAAGCCAGGCCCGGATCCACGCTTTGCTAGATCTAGCAAAATTTTGCTTGGAAGCTCTTCGGGTTCACACTTCAACAGGGTGTTCAAAAAAAGTTCCCCATTTCAACCCAAATTTCTGAATAAGTGGCTCGAGGTGGTGGTGGTGATGTGAAGCTCAAGGTGATGTGAAGCTCAAGGCGGTGTGAAGCTCAAGGTGATGTGAAGCTCAAGGTTGTGTGAAGCTCGAGATGGTGTGAAGCTCAAGGCGGTGTGAAGCTCAAGGTGATGTGAAGCCCAAGGTGATGTGAAGCTCAAGGCGGTGTGAAGCTCAAGGTGATGTGAAGCTCAAGGTTGTGTGAAGCTCAAGATGGTGTGAAGCTCAAGGCGGTGTGAAGCTCAAGGTGATGTGAAGCTGAAGATGATGTGAAGCTGAAGATGATGTGAAGCCCAAGGTGATGAGCTCAAGGTGATCTGAAGCTCAAGGTGATCTGAAGCTCAAGGTGATCTGAAGCTCAAGGTGATCTGAAGCTCAAGGTGATCTGAAGCTCAAGGTGATCTGAAGCTCAAGGTGATCTGAAGCTCAAGGTGATCTGAAGCTCAAGGTGATCTGAAGCTCAAGGTGATCTGAAGCTCAAGGTGATGTGAAGCTCAAGGTGATGTGAAGCTCAAGGTGATGTGAAGCTCAAGGTGATGTGAAGCTCAAGGTGATGTGAAGCTCAAGGTGATGTGAAGCTCAAGGTGATGTGAAGCTCAAGGTGATGTGAAGCTCAAGGCGGTGTGAAGCTCAAGGTGATGTGAAGCTCAAGGTGATGTGAAGCTCAAGGTGATGTGAAGCTCAAGGTGATGTGAAGCTCAAGGTGATGTGAAGCTCAAGGTGATGTGAAGCTCAAGGTGGTGGTCTGTTTCTAAGCGTCACAATCTTGACTTTTTTCGCGATTTTCCTGATTACATGACCTCTCGTACATCAAAAAATTCATCACCATCACCACAAAAACCACAACGAATTTCAAATTTGTTTTGCTGTTCATTTAAAGTCGATTTTTTATTATAAACTTTGGTCTGGTCGACTGGTCTGGTCCTTCAATGTGTGAACAATTAAATTTGGTTATAGAAAATTACAATCTATCTTGTATATTCATGTAGAAGAACATAGAGAAAATTTGTGTCAAAGTTGACTTACTTGCCTGCAGAAGTCAATCAACTTTGGCGGTCTATAACTCGAGGTATGGAAATTGAATTGACTTGTGATTGCTTTTAAAATGTTGGTCTGGTTTTTCTTTGGTTCTTCAATGCCTACAACTACAAAAACCTCCAGGAGCCACTAGAAATACTGAGAGAAATCAAGCTGAACTTTTTTTTGAAACACCCTGTAATTTTATTGATTCAAGTGCTTTTTGCAGGGGTTTAAACAAAGAATAAACATATCTAAATCCCAAAATGTAATGCTGATACTTTGCTTTCCAATTAGCATACGATACATTAAACATTTTCAGGTTCCCTACCCGCGAATCCATTTCCCGTTGGTTACTTATGCGCCTTTGGTGTCTGCAGAGAGAGCTTTTCATGAACAAGTATTTTATATTAAATGGATATTAGATATTAAATGAATATTAGATATTAAATGGATACTAGATATCAAATGAATAGTAGATATCTAATGAATACTAGATATCAAATGAATAGATATCAAATGAATACTAGACATCAAATGAATACTAGACATCAAATGAATACTAGATATCAAATGAATAGTAGATATCAAATGAATAGATATCAAATGAATACTAAACATCAAATGAATACTAGATATCAAATGAATAGTAGATATCAAATGAATAGATATCAAATGAATAGATATCAAATGAATACTAAACATCAAATGAATACTAGATATCAAATGAATAGATATCAAATGAATAGTAGATATCAAATGAATAGACATCAAATGAATACTAGATATCAAATGAATAGTAGATATCAAATGAATAGATATCAAATGAATAGATATCAAATGAATACTAAACATCAAATGAATACTAGGTATCAAATGAATACTAGACATCAAATGAATACTAGATATCAAATGAATAGACATCAAATGAATACTAGATATCAAATGAATAGTAGATATCAAATGAATAGATATCAAATGAATAGTAGATATCAAATGAATAGATATCAAATGAATACTAAACATCAAATGAATACTAGATATCAAATGAATAGATATCAAATGAATACTAGACATCAAATGAATACTAGACATCAAATGAATACTAGACATCAAATGAATACTAGATATCAAATGAATAGTAGATATCAAATGAATAGATATCAAATGAATACTAAACATCAAATGAATACTAGATATCAAATGAATAGTAGATATCAAATGAATAGATATCAAATGAATAGATATCAAATGAATACTAAACATCAAATGAATACTAGATATCAAATGAATAGATATCAAATGAATACTAGACATCAAATGAATACTAGATATCAAATGAATAGTAGATATCAAATGAATAGATATCAAATGAATACTAAACATCAAATGAATACTAGATATCAAATGAATAGATATCAAATGAATAGTAGATATCAAATGAATAGATATCAAATGAATAGTAGATATCAAATGAATAGATATCAAATGAATAGTAGATATCAAATGAATAGATATCAAATGAATACTAAACATCAAATGAATACTAGATATCAAATGAATACTAGACATCAAATGAATACTAGATATCAAATGAATAGATATCAAATGAATACTAGACATCAAATGAATACTAGACATCAAATGAATACTAGACATCAAATGAATACTAGATATCAAATGAATAGTAGATATCAAATGAATAGATATCAAATGAATAGATATCAAATGAATACTAAACATCAAATGAATACTAGATATCAAATGAATACTAGACATCAAATGAATACTAGATATCAAATGAATACTAGATATCAAACGAATACTAGATATCAAATGAATACTAGATATCAAATGAATAGATATCAAATGAATACTAAACATCAAATGAATACTAGGTATCAAATGAATACTAGACATCAAATGAATACTAGATATCAAATGAATAGATATCAAATGAATACTAGATATCAAATGAATAGTAGATATCAAATGAATAGATATCAAATGAATACTAAACATCAAATGAATACCAGATATCAAATGAATACTAGATATCAAATGAATCCTAGATATTTAACGAACACTAGACATCAAACGAATACTAGGCATCAAATGAATACTAGACATGCAAAATAAAAAGTTTTATCACCTGAATTCATTGAGATAAATATCTCTATTAATATGCAAATACGGTAAACGATAGCCCAAAGTACTTTTAGAATACAGTAGCCGACATGACGAACGCGTGCTTTGAGCCGGGCCATCAAATGGTGAAATGCGATCCGAGACGTGGCAAATATATGGTAATTGATAGAAATATACTTTTTCTAATGTTAGATATGCAAATTTCTAGGCTGTTTGCTTACTGTACCGGGGCGACGTCGTGCCGAAAGACATCAACTCGGCGATTTCGGCGGTGAAAACGAAGAGAACCGTGCAATTTGTGGAATGGTGAACTTTAGAGATTTACATCTAATCTCTAGTAATATGTAAATTTCAAAATAGACCGTTTACTGTAGTTGGAGCAAACTTTAGAACAATAACCGTAGCTGGAGCATGTCCTAGAATGGTTGTGGTAGCTGGAGCGTGCTTTAGAATGGCTACAGTAGCTGGGAGATACCTGAAAGTGATTAAGGCAATCGGTTCATGCTTTGGAACGGTAGTTGGGCTATGTTTGGGGGATTGTTTTTAGAGCGATTACGGTCACAAAGATATACTTTAGAACGCACGGTAGCTGGAGCATACCCTAGAGTGATTACAGTAGTTGGGGCATGCTTTAGAATGTTTACTGTGATTGGGACATGCTTTAGAGAATTTACGGCAGCTGCAGCATTTCCTAGAGTGATTACAGTAGCTGGGCTATGTTTTAAAGTAGCTACAGTAACTGGGACACGTTTTAGAAAAGTTCCCTGAGTTCGGTAAAAGTTCAAAAGTCAAATTTCAGGTGTCCCACCGGTTTCAAAGTTGGGATCAACTATCAACCGCCGACCGTCGTTCCTGGTGGAGATCTCGGGAAACAAACGAGATCGGTACGAGAATTAGAACTTATCGATTTATCATAGATGAATTAGAACAGATCTATTAGCTTGGTAAATATGAAAGGTTATTTTTTTGATCATTTGTAACATAACAGGAAAAGTTATTTAAACACTTTCAAAATCAAATGTATCCACCACAAGCATTAATAACTTCTTTCCAACATCGCCCCAAATCACGAATACCGTCCTCGTAAAATTGAAGATTTTTAGAGGCAAAATAGTTGGCAACCCAATTTTCGATGTCCTTCTTTTGTTTGAACTGCTGTCCAGAAACTGCTTGTTTAATAGACCGAAAGAGATGGTAATCCGATGGGGCTAGATCAGGGCTGTATGGTGGGTGTGGAAGAAGTTTTCAGCTCAACTTATCGATTTGTTCGTGGACGATCTTTGAAATGTGAGGCCTAGCATTGTCGTGAAGAAATCTGACCTTCGATGGATCGATCCTCTTTTTCCTCAATGCTGGATCGACTCGACCCATTTGTTCAGCATAAAGTCTTTCGTCAACAGTGTCTCCTTTATCTAATATTTCCAAATGAGCCAATCCCTTAGCATTCCACCACACACAAAGCATAACTTTTTCGGAGGCTTCGGGATAGGATGAGAGGTCTGCTTCGAACTCAGCCACTGTCCATAGAGTTGAATATTTTCATACGAAAGCCAAGTCTCATCAGATGTCAAAAAATACTTCCAAAAGTCACGATGGCTAGCTTTACGTAGAAGAACAGAGCTCAAGGTGACTCGTGTGACTTTGTGGGCATCAGTGAGGTCGTGGGGGAGCCATTTCCCGCTTCGATATGATTTCCCAAGAACGTGTAAATGGTAACATGAGTGCATCCGAACTTTTCTGCTAATTTTCTACACTTTTGCAATGGATCCAAGTCGACCTCGTTCAGTAATAGCTGATCGTCCAGAGTAATCGGCGGCTTTCCATGTGATGCATCTTCCAATGACTCGTTTCCCGTTTTGAAGTGATCGTACCAAACACAACATTGTTTGTAAGTAAGAGCAGCTTCTCCAAAAACAGTACAAATGTTCTGATGGCATTCCGTAGCTTTCTTGTTTAAATTGAATTCAAAGAAAATGGCGGCCCTGATTTTAAATTTTTGGTCATCCATCTTTGCTGAGCTGAAACAATACAAATATTATTCAAAACAAAAAAGGTTTTTGCAAAAAAAGCATTAGCACATTTTGACATATTATTGAGAAAAATCCTACACAGCGAATGTTCTTCGTAACGACAGGGCAATATTTTTTGTAAAAAATAACCTTTCATATTTACCAAGCTAATATAAGATCAGATCTATTAGATCAGATCTATTAACTCAGATCTATTAGAACAGATCTATTAGAACAGATCGATTAGAACAGATCTATTAGAACAGGTCGATTAGAACAGATCTATTAGAACAGATCGATTAGAACAGATCTATTAGATCAGATCCATTAGCTCAGATCCATTACCTCAGATCTAATAGGTTGATGCATAAGTCTTTTTGTTCCTTTTCGTCTGCCGTTTCAAGCCAACAAATGCACCAATTAAACTACGGTTGATTTCATTAGAAAAATAAATTATTTTTCTACAAAAATAACATTAAAACGGGTTTAAAAATATTTAATGCCTGGATTTTCTTGAGAGTATGAAGTCGGGTAGTCAAAAAGGGCTAACTCGATGATGCGGTTTAGACACCTTAGCTAAAGAAAACCTATCTTCGTGTCAATAGATAAAAGATAGAGAAAAAAAACGTTTGATATTTCGCCAAAATTTCAGAGAAATTCATTCAGCCAATTTTTCCGTAGAGTTTTTTATAGATTTTTACGAAAAAGGCGTTTTTCACTCTCGAATTTGCTTGAAAGTGAACCGAAATTCATTTAAAAAGATGCAAATTGAACAAAAAAACACTTTTTTTATAGAGCAAACTATAGATTAATTCGTGAATTTGTTACTTTTTAACAGAAGTACGAAAAAAACGAAAAGACTTATGCATCAACCTAATATTACCTCACATCTATTACCTCACATCTATTACCTCAGATTTATTACCTCAGATCTATTAGATCTCAAATGTTTAATGCATAGCTCAGTCAATCTTGCAGAAAAGCAAGATCAAGACACTTTTGTTTACTTATTCATCTCTCAGGTATGCATGATTTCGAATACAACCGCGATCGCCGAGGCGTGGGCTCGTTTAGATCACAAATTCGATCTCATGTACGCGAAAAGGGCTTTCGTCCATTGGTACGTGGGTGAAGGTGGGTGAATTTATTATGAATTTAGATGAATTTATCTAAAAGTTTAGACGAATTAAATTCAAATTCAATCAAATGCATATCTCCAATTTAATGCCAATTTAATTTAACGCAATTGAATGGGATCATTGACATCATTGACAATCATTGACATCATTGACATCATTGACAATCCAATCATTGACATCATTGACATCATTGACATCATTGACAATCAATTGACAATCAATTTGCCGTAAATTTGGCTGAATTTTTGATTCAAATTTCGCATCCCATCAAACAATTGTATTACTTAAAAAAATCAGCCAAACCGAGCGGCCTACTCGTCGATTTTTTTATGGAATTCAATGGCCCCGAATGCCCCTATTTGGTAGCATTCGAAAGCCTGAAATTTCCTGTTTAAAATTTCGCTTTGACTTCGTCGTTTTGGGCAAAAGTTTTGGCAAAAAGCTTTTCCTGAGAGCAATTTATATATATAGCAATGTTTATGGCCTAATGGAAAACGAAAAAAATGAAATAAGGTTGTAGTTACTTACCTTGTTTCCGGTGAATAGAAGAATCACCGATGGCGGTAAAAATACGCCAAATTCTTGGTCAAAAAGGTCCAAATCCAAAAATTGGCTTAATTTTGTACCTACATCTTTCCCCGAATCCAGACATTCTAGATTGAGTACTCTAATCTAGACTGAATACCGTAATCTAGCTATTCTAGACTGAATATCCTATCCTAGATCGAATACCGTAATCCAGACAGTCTAGACAAGACAAAATCCAATTCAAACCCCTCAAATAAGCATTTTTCTTTCAGGAATGGAAGAAGGCGAGTTCTCAGAAGCACGCGAAGATATGGCCGCTTTAGAGAAAGATTATGAAGAGATTGGGGAAGATGAGTACAAGTAAGGTTTTAGAACAAATACAAATAGTCAATGCTAGACTAGACTGCTAGTCAATGCTAGACTTTTAAAGAAAACATCGGTCGATTCATCTGTCATTTGTCATTTGCCGTTGGCAATCTAAAGTTTTTTGTGTTTTTCTTAGCACCAACCCTTCTATTTTGACTATTTTAACTATCATTCGATGCAGAAGAAAATTGCGCGTCGAATGATACCAAAATGAACTCAAAATATAATATCCACGCAAAGTTATGAGGCAAAAGGGAAAGAATCGGCCGGGGTTTAGGTTTTTAGCCAACAACTTTGCGTGAATATTACATTTTGAGTTCATTTTGGTATCATTCGACGCACAATTTGATTTTGCATCGAATGATAGTGGCACATCGCCGGATAGAGATCGAGTGCTCATCTCATTCAAGCGCTTGTCAAATGAGTTGCAAACATACGATTGGGAAGTTTTTCATAGAGAAATGTAGCCAAGATTAAGGGCTATAATTCTCTGTATAACACTTGAAACTTTGAGAGAAATCAAGCCTGCGACAACCACTTATCCAACGACAACTTTTCCAAAAAGTTATCCGGGTAATTTTGCCTAACCGGGTACTTTGGGCTTGTTCCAAACGCGATTTTTTGTGTCAAGTCTATCATTCGATGCAGAAGAAAATTGCGCGTCGAATGATACCAAAATGAACTCAAAATGTAATATCTACGCAAAGTTGTTGGCTAAAAACCTAAGCCCCGGCCGATTCTTACCCTTTTGCCTCTTAACTTTGCGTGGATATTACATTTTGAGTTCATTTTGGTATCATTCGACGCGCAATTCAATTTTGCATCGAATGGTAGTCAAAATAGTCAAAATAGAAGGGTTGGTGCTGAGAAAAACACGAAAAACTTTAGGTTGCCAATGGCAAAAAGAACCGGCAGATACAAAGCTTGCAAGCTACGGTCTGCCCTTGTTCTCAAGCACATTGCAATGCAATTGCCTGAATGCAATCAATCGATTGAATATTATAAACTCTTACTAATAGAGTCTATAGTATTCATTTTGATCTTAATATCCAATTCATCGTTATTTTTCAGAGAAGACGACGAGTCCTATTACACCAGTCATTCGCGAGCTCAAACCGGCCACTCAAGACAATAATTTCACAAGTTTCCCGCAGTTTCCCGCAAAAAATAAACGCAAATTTATTTGTTGACAAGCAAAACCCGTACAGAATTCAAAAATTTCAAATGATTTGAGTTCGGAAAAGTTTTCACAAACAAGTCGACGTCCAGCGGTGTTGTAAACATTCGTTGCACACCAATTGACAACACCAAACGAATTTGCAATCGCATTTGTACGGGATTACTTCATGGGTTACCTAGAAAAAATGTGAAATTGGAAAATTGAATGAAAAAAAATTGAATGAAAAGAATTGAATGTTAAAATTAAAATTGCTAAACTTAAAAATTTGAGTTGATTTAGTCCTGTTGTGTAGAAATTAGAGTGTGTTGATCGTACAAATAATTATTTGGATCGATTGGAGTGTGTTGATCGTACAAATCATTACCGTATTCCCTCTAATAATAGTGCACCCCGCCGAGCCGAGTTAGTGACTATTTTACGGTTTCCAAGCTCTTGCAGAAACTCAACACTCTAATCCCCCATAAGATCTCATCGTCAGCTACATTTTCCGACCCCACATCGATAGGTTCTGATAAGCGGTTCTCGAGATTTCGAGCAATTTAGGTCGCGGGTTCGAGTCCTGGCGGCACACGAGTTTTTGATCTGCTCTAGTTCCAACCTTACAATAAAAGATAACTTCATAGTTCCTCCAGGAACAAAGAAAGAATACACTACTATTAGAGAGAATACACTTGTGCAGAAAAGTGGTTCTTTTCTGTGGAATCTTATTTAATGTTTTGATTTGAATGTCTGGTTTTCTTGTCCCGCCTCTGAAAGATTGCTTTTAAGATAAAGGGACGGATAAAAGGGTCGGAGCCCACTTTACAGGGGCACTTTTCATATTCTCTCCGTATTCCTTTCGTATTCCTTTTGTATTGCCATGAAACACTGAACCAACGATTAATCCTATTTTATTGTATTTCTTGCTAGATTCAGAATAAATATCTAATAATCAACGCCCCTATCGGTATTCTCGCACGACACTGCACAACACTACTATTAGAGAGAATACGGTATGTGCTTTTTTTTTCTATCAAAGAACAGATTACTCTATCATATATTTACTGTACTTTAAAGTAAAAGTGAATACTAGAAAACACTTTAAAACACTTTAGAACAGTTTAAAACACCATTTTCTCTCTAATAGTAGTGCACCCGGCTGAGCGGAGTTGATGACTATTTTACGGTTTCCAAGTTTCCATAGAAGCTCAACACTCAAATCCCCCACAAGATCTCATCGTCAGCTACATTTCCCGACCCCACATCGATAGGCTCTGATAAGCGGTTTTCGAGATTTCGAGCAATTTAGGCGACGCTCAGGGTGCACTACTATTAGAGAGAATACGGTATTTGGATCGATTAGAGTTTGTTGATCGTACAAATAATTATTTGGATAATTTTGAGCATATATTGGGTTGGGGAGAATGAGTCGGCGCCGAAAATGAAGAAATTTCTAAAACTTATAGCAGACTTTGTCAAATGATATGCGTTTGATATCCGTAGAAGGGTAACTAATTCTCTACAAAATAATATTTAAAAGAGAACTCAAACAGCGCCTCAACTCAACAAAGGATCATTTTTTCACAAAATCGATAAACTGTCATCTAGAGTAAACGGTTGGAGGGATCTTCCTGAAAATTTGGTAACTTATGTAATTGAGTGTGCTCTATCTTTTTTATATAAACACCAAAGGAGGTTTATGTGGAAGAAACTGTTCAAGCAATGAGTCGGACTTTTTGTCATTTTGATTAGCTGTGTTTGGGAATCCATAAAATCCCAAAAAAGAAAAGCTTTGTGGAATCTCTCAAAAGCCATTTTGTAAAGAAATAGTGGACCATTTTGATGAAACAAAACGTGTATTTAAAGAAGGTTTTATGGGTGCAAAAAGTTTCTTTAAATTTCGGCGCCGACTCATTCTCCCCAACCCAATAATTCTTGATCCAAATAAATGAGTCAAATAATTGTTGGATAATATAAGCCATATTTGCTATGACAGCCAGCCATGAAGTTCTAAAATGCACGATCTTTTTGCTCGCGTATTTAAAGGCGGACTGAATTATTTTCCAACCACTTTCATTCTTCAAGTCAATGCGTAATTAATTGTAACTTTTTGTTTTGTTTTACTGTTTGTTTTGTGTAATCTTTCGGATACTATCCGATTATACCTCTCCATCCGTTTTTGTATACGATATTTGGACGATTTTAACACAATATGGCTATTTTAAGTATCAGATATGTTTAAGTTATAGTTTCGGGCTAAATTTGGATTAGATAAACATACGCATAAAGTGGATAAAACAATATTATAGGTCTAAACTATCTTGGTATGGGATGGTATAATCGGAAAGTACCATCATCTTATCTATTTCGAGCAATTTAGGCGAAGCTTGGACTGCACTACTATTGGGTTGATGGAAAAGTCCTTTCCGATTTTTTGGGAGAGTACCTTAGAGTTTTTGGGAGAGTACCTTAGAGTACCGCCGCTTTTCGCGTTTTTCCTTCGTCTTTCTCGTTTTTACCAATCGATCCGTCTTGAATTCAGCTTTAGGATGAGCTATAAAACGTCAAAATTGGACAAATTTAAGGTACTCTCCCAAAAAATCGGAAAGGACTTTTCCATCAACCCAATATTAGAGAGAATACGGTATTTGGATCGATTAGAGTTTGTTGATCGTACAAATCGTTACCGTATTCTCTCTAATAGTAGTGCAGAGCCGAGTTGATGACTATTTTACGGTTTCCAAGTTTTCACAGAAGCTCAACACTCTAATCCCCAACTAGATCTCATCGTCAGCTACATTTTCCAATCCCACGTCGATAGATTTCAAAAGCCTAAGCCATAGGCGGTTTTCGAGATTTCAAAGTAGACAAAATCAGACAAAAAGTAGATTCAAAAAGTGGATTCGATAAAAAGTAGAAACAAGATTACGGTAGAAAAAGACACGTTTTAGGAAATGGATTGTAGGAGATGGATTTGAAACGTAAAACTTACATTGTACCCTCGCCCGCAGCACAATGAGTTACAATCGCCCTGTGAATGGGTTTCATTTCTCCAACCGCAAACACGACGAGAAGCTGTTCGACTGAAAATACGGTTTATTTTTAGATTTATTCACTACAACTTCAGTTCTCATCTTAGAGTTGAAAATGAGCTTTTGCTTTTGAAGCTTTTGAATAGGGTTTTTTTTGTGGGTACTTTACATAAAGAAATTCTATCTTTCTGTCCAGAAAGTCTTTTCATTTCTTTCCGTATTTTCGTTTAAAAACAACAAATTAACAAATTAACAACAAATTTCTGAAAAGCCTAATATCAGGCTCACCTCAGCTCAAGCTCAGGCTCACCTTAGCTCAGGTTCATCTCGGCTCAGGCTCAGCTCAGGCTCACCTTAGCTCAGGCTCATCTCAGCTCAGGCTCAGCTCAGGCTCACCTTAGCTCAGGCTGAATAGGATTCACTGGGAGTTTATCTCACTAAATCTGTACTTAAAAAGGAATAGAGTAGTCAGTCTTTAACATTAAAACGGGCTTCTTATTCATTCCTTTTCGTATTTTCGTTTAAAAACAACAAATAAACCAATTGAAATATGGCAGATAGAGAACTAAAAAGTACTGTTTTTAAGAGATTTAGTATAATATCTTATTTATCGTCTTCTTATTAATATATAATATCGTCTTTACTTTGCTTTTTATTATTAAACCCACGCAGCACAATGATCAGGTGATTGCTCAAAAGCGAGAAGGTCCGCGTTTTTCACTTTCGTCTCAGGGAGAACACTTCTTGTGCGGTGATACCTGAATACTTTAGCTTTACGGATCAAGAAAGAGAATCTAGTTCACGAGAATCTAGTTCTAGTTCACGAGAATCTAGTTCACTAGAATCTAGTTCTAGTTCTAGTTCACGAGAATCTAGTTCTAGTTCACGAGAATCTAGTTCTAGTTCTAGTTCACGAGAATCTAGTTCTAGTTCACGAGAATCTAGTTCTAGTTCACGAGAATCTAGTTCTAGTTCACGAGAATCTAGTTCTAGTTCACGAGAATCTAGTTCTAGTTCACGAGAATCTAGTTCTAGTTCACGAGAATCTAGTTCTAGTTCACGAGAATCTAGTTCACTAGAATCTAGTTCTAGTTCACGAGAATCTAGTTCTAGTTCACGAGAATCTAGTTCTAGTTCACGAGAATCTAGTTCTAGTTCACGAGAATCTAGTTCACTAGAATCTAGTTCTAGTTCACGAGAATCTAGTTCACTAGAATCTAGTTCTAGTTCTAGTTCACGAGAATATAGTTCTAGTTCACTAGAATCTAGTTCTAGTTCTAGTTCACGAGAATCTAGTTCTAGTTTTCTAGTTCACCAGAAAATTGTTGACAGTGCACCAGCGTTGACAAATTTAGCACAAAGTAACAACAACTTTAAAGCTTACTTATCAATCAAATGTCCGGTAATCGTCTCCAAATCGGCCGTTCTCTTCCAGCAGGTTTTCTGCTGACAAGATCCAGAGACTCCATGGCATTTACAGGATTGAAGAACGCTTTTCTTTACCGCCTAAAAATCAATTTAGAATATTAGTCTTCCAGAAAGTCCAGAAAGTCTTTTCTTTCCTATAAAAACCTATATGAAGATATTGGCTGAATGATTTTCTTTGAAAATTTACCTATATACTAAATTTTTTATGCTCTATCTTTTATCTATTGACACAAAGATAGGTTTCCTTAGCAGAAAGTGTCTAAAATGCATCATTGGGTAGACATGGGCACTATAAACTACAAAAGTGACGAACTGTCACATTACAAACGCTTCTAACTTGATTCAAATTTGTCGGATTAATATGATTTATAGCTCAAAAAATAGAGAATCTCAAGAGCTTTCGAATCGAGCAAAGCACACCTAAAAATATCAATACTAAAGAAAGTTACAGTGGCTTGTAGCCTGGCTCGAAACGAATCGTAGTCGAGCCAGGCTACAAGCCACTGTAACTTCCTTTAGTATTGATGTGTTTTGGGTGTCCTTTGCTCCATTCGAAAGCTCTTGAGATTCTCTATTTTTTGAGCTATAAATCATATTAATCCGGCAGATTTGAAGCAAGTTAGAAGCGTTTGTAGTTTCCGTTTCTATTTTCCGTTTGTAGTTTGTAGTGCCCATGTCTATCGAGCCGTCTATCGCTCTTTTTGATCACCCGACTTCATGCGCCCAAAAACATCCAGACATAAGACATTTTAAACCCATTTTAATGTTATTTTGCAGAAAAATCATTGGCCTTTCTAATGAAATAAACCGTAGTTCAATTGGTGCATTTGTTGGTTTTAAACGAAAGTACAAAAATGAAAGAAAAGACTTTCTGGACAGACTAATACAAGATCTCACTAAACGTCCGGCTTTCAAATTGTGACGCTCGGCGATTTTCGACGGATTTCCGGCGGGGAGATCTCGTCCTCCACGTCTCTCACGGCCAACTCCGTCATCGTCTCTGAAAGTTAGTCCAGTGATAGAATGCTCGCCTGCCACTCGGGCGACCCGAGTTCGATTCCCGGACTCTGCACCATCAAGGAAAATAGTAGTATTGAGCTTTAGTCAAGAATATAAAGAGCTTTGCTCAATACACGATAAATCTAGTGATAGTGGCAGTAATTTGGAAAGATATGAAATATCTATTTCTCATAAAATCTTTCATAGATGAGAGAAAAAGAAGTAGGGCTAAAATCAAGAAATTAAAATCTGAAAGCGGCAAATACCTCCTTGGGCACAATAGGCAGACGCAGCTCGACCAAGACCTAAGAAGTACGGATCTAAGAAGTACGGACCTAAGAAATACGGATCTAAGAAGTCCGGACCTAAGGAGTACGGACCTAAGAAGTATGGCGCTAAGAAGTACGGACTTAAGAAGTACGGATTTGCGCCAGCTCTCGGGACTTAGAGATCCAGTGGAAGTGATTGAGAGAAAAAGACTGAACCGACCATGTAGCCAGAAGAAAAGACGACAGATGGATGATACAGATCGATACGGATCACAGAGTGGCTACCACGAGACCAGAAGAGGCATATCAGAAGACCAGCAACGAGGTGGAGCACAAGAGTGGCAGAGACGGTCAGAGAAAGGATGGCTAGAGTGCAACCACCACCAGCACAAGCAAGTCGAAGACTTCGAACCAGGTACAACCAAGATAGGAAACACTGGATGACAATAGCAAGGGATAGAGATGTGGATACAGAAATGTGGATGCAGGCTGTGATCTGCGCAAATAGGAACACCTAAGACAAATAAAAAAAAGCGCAAATGTCAGCTGTGAAAGTGACAAGAAAAGAGACATAGCATAGCTAATAGAATAGAATCCAAAATAGATTTCAAATTGCCTTCCAAGTGTCACTATTTGTCGACAGGCGTTGGGACTTTTATGACTGCTGATCTCATAGTTCTTGAAATTGGAACGTTAGGACATATTGGGTTGATGCATAATTATCCGGACTTCTTTTATAAATGATTTTATTTAACAAAAAATAACATAAATAGTTAGAAAAATATGTTTAATTGATTATTCTGGAGCATATTCACCGCCTACATCAATAACTGATTGCCATTTGCTTGGAAGACGATCGATTCCACGAGCGAAGAATAAACGATCTTTGGAGGCAATCCACGCTTTAACATCGTCTATCAAGTCATCCAAATCGTTGTAGATCTTATTTGTTTGCCAATTTTTGAGCGATCGATTGACGTGGTAGTCCGTTGGGGCTTCTCCAGTTCTTTGAGATCGCGAAACGACTCTGCGGCAGACCATCCCTTTTCGAAGTGGTAGAGCATGATATGGCGAAGATGGATATGATTGTCGACACGCATTTTGTTCACTAAAGAATAACGAATATTTAAAAAAAAGAAATAGACAAAAAGCTTTCAAAACAAAAAAGATACAAGCACGCAAAAAGAAGTCCGGATAATTATGCATCAACCCAATAATTTCTGGTCTGAGTGCCACTTTTTCATTATGTATTCATAGAGAGCCGACTGCAATTCATGTGTAAAACAGAAAGCATATTTCTGGACATACAGGATCACGAGAGATGCTCAGTTTTCATTAAAAGTTGAAGATATTCAAGATATTCAAGATATTCAAGAATTTTGAGTAAATGTGATAAGTGATTTAAGATTTCAAAGAAAAATCACCAACTTGTAAGCGGCTCCACGGCTGAAAAGCCTTCTCGAAGCGGCTAGGCCATACTGAAAGAATTCAGATGGCATTTTATTGATTTTATTGATTTTATTGATTTTCAAGCCCGGTCCGGTTGATACATTTTATAAAAAATAACCAATTAAATAATTGAAATTGAATCCTTCATTCACCTGAACCCCGTACGAGCATCCACTCCATTCCCAAGCCTTTTCGCCAGCCGTCGGAGTACACGCGCACTCTGGTAGCCAGCCCTGGAATTTGATTCTTTTTGAATGTCTACCAACGTTCTACCAACGCTCAACCAACGCTCAACCAACGTTCTACCAACGTTCTACCAACAATTCTACAACAATTCTCAACAATTCTCACAAGATAGAGACTTGGAAAGTTTCTGAAAATCAAATCAAAGCAGATTCAAAGAAAGAATTTGATCGAAATTCTAATAAATCAAAAATTTAAAGAGGTTTTTCGCTAGATTTTCGACGTCAGATTTTGGCAAATTTCTGTGACCATTTCTGCTCGAAATTTGGCTGAATTTTGCTACAAATTCTGCATTCTGTCAAACTTGTTTTAGTTAAACAGCAGCTAAATTGAATGAGAACAATGCGATCCGAGTTGAGCCTTCTGTCTCCTGATTCTCCTAGGACTGTGTAGCCTAATTGTGAGTCTCGTTTTATATCATTTGAATGCCCAAAGTCATGGCGTTTGGTCTTAAAAAGGCTCAACTATTAAACAATTAGCCGGCTGGTTGTTTTGGGATGTTTTGGGGTATTTCTGGCTGAATGTTTTGCGGCTGACGCATACCGTATTTAAAAAATTGGTCCTTTTTTGCTCTCGTCTGCCTTCAAATCAGAACTTTATCTTGTTGCGACAATTATCGCGCACCCTGTCTAGTGTCTAGTGGATAGTGTCTAGTGGATAGCTAGACCGTAGGTGCTTAATCTCTTTTGCAGTCCATCGTAAGTCTTTAACAGACTGATCCCTTTAACAGCTTAACAGCTAACAGCTAACAGGTCAATTTGTTGAATTGTACGGCTCATAATCACCTGCATACAAGCGGTGGCGATTCCCCAAGCAGCTCCGGTAGACGAGAGCGCCCAAACGAGCGCCGATTCGCGGTGAGCTGCAAAATGGGGTTTATCTAATATTTTAGGTTTTAAATATATCTAGTTCTTAAAAGTATATCTAAAATATACAAATCAAATCTACAAATAAACCGTATTTCAGCAACGGTGGATCCAATAGCGGATGTCCGATCTTTGTGCAATCCCAAGCGTGGAAACGGAGTTTTTCCTCACATTGTGATAAAGCGTCCTGAAAAATAGCAAATTTGAGCAAATTTATAACAAATTTGAATCTTTCTATTAGGTTGGCAACTTAATAATGACGCGTTTATGTAACAAATGATTTATTTCAAAAAACACAAAAGAAGAGCTTTCAATTCGAAAGGTATTCTCCATTAGTATCTATGACTTCTTCCCATCTTCTGCGCAAATCCCGGATCCCATCCTCGAAGAACTTGGGAGTTTTTGAGGCGAAGTAGTCATTCACTGCTTTTATGACCTGAGCATGATCATCGAACTTTTCTCCCTCCAAAAAGTGCTTCAGCGACCGAAACAAAAAGTAATCTGAAGGAGCCAGATCAGGTGAATAAGACGCGTGGGGCAAAACTTTCCAGCCAAGTTCCTCGATTTTCTTATAAGTGATCTTTGCAGTGTGAGGTTTTGCGTTGTCGTGTAAAAATCTGACTCTCTCCGGTTTGAGCCCCAATTTCTTCGAAGACTCGTTAACTCTCATTAATTGCTTCGAATAAAGATCAGCATCGACGGTTTGGCCAGGTTTCAGCACTTCATAATGCACCAATCCCTTGAAGTTCCACCAGCAACAGAGCATTATCTTCTTCCCATGGATATCAGGTTTGGGAGTGGTTTAAGGGGTCTGCCCAGCAGATAGCCATTGATTTTTGCGTTTAACGTTCTCGTAGTTGATCCACGTTTCGTCAGAAGTCAAAACCCTGTGAAAAAAGTCGTTTGATTTACATTTTTGTAGCAAAATTGAGGCGACATTTTGTTGCTTTGGGTCAGTTCGTGAGGAACCCATTTTCCAACTCGATTCTTTTCCCAAGTTTGTGTAAATAGTTTTTGATTGTCGTATGGGATACTTCAAATATTTCTGCCAACTCACGAACGGTGAGTGTTGGGCAATCTTCAATTAAGGCGAGCAAGTCATCGTCGACCACTTCTGGAGGATGTCCTTGGTGTGGCTCGTCTACGAGGCTTTCATCGCCGCCTTGGAATCTTTGAAACCATCGTTGACATTGCCGAATGTGTATACTTTTCTCCCCAAAAACAGTGATGATCGTGCGATGAGATTCAGCTGGTGATTTTCCTTGTTTAAAATCGTAGAACAATGAAGCTCGAATACGGAATTTTTTGTCCTCCATTTTTTGCCAAAAAGCAAATGATGAAATTTGGAGCACTAAATGTTATTTATGCAGACATCTTTTACTTTGTATATATGCAAAAAAGAGGGAAGAAACGGCGCTTGAAATTACAAAAAACATGTTAAGTAGTGACGCGTCATTATTAAGTTGCCAACCTAATAAATACCGTAATCTAATCGTCGGTTAAATCTGTCTATTTTTCAGAAATCTTCAGAGTTTTGACTTTTCAAACAGAAGGTTTTGTTTCCGTGCCTTATTTACAGTATTCCAAGCTTTCAAGAGCTTAAAACTGAGTGGTTTTTATCAATTTTTATCCGTTTTTTGATGTGATTAAGTCTAATGAACGATTTATTATTTAAATAATAGTAAACTTTTGAGATTTTGAACTTATATGCTACTATTGGGTTGGTGAATTGAAAGAAGAAAGTGCTCAAACTGTGACATATGACAATAGTCCACAGTTTTCAATTCACCAACCCAATACCTACTCACCTTGATCCCCTCATAGGCGGCCACAACCAGCGCCGGCTGGGTACGACACAAAATCTGCGCGTGACGAAATGAGCGCGAGTGGAGTAGAGCCGGCGGGCAACCCTGGAATTGAGAATTTGAATAAAATGTTAAAACTAGTACTTATTGATAACTGATATGCAAATTGCCTCTACAATTACAAGCAGAGGCAATTTGCATATCTGTTGTTACTTGTTGTTGTACTTGTTTACAAGTACAAACAAGTAGATTACAAGTACAAACAAGTGGATTTTGTTTTCCATTAAAATTTGCATATCATTGAACATTGAACTGGAAGTGCATTGAACATCCAAAAAAGCACAAAGTTCTAGATCCAGTCAAGGACAAGAATAAGAGACAGAAACTAATCAAAAATACGTGTGTCACCTTTGAGTTTGACACATTTTCGTTCTCCAAGAAAAGAGAAAATTGATTGAAAGCGAACTAGCAATAGAATGACCGCAACTTGTAGAACTGTAGTTCTTGTTTTATGTGTTCTTGTTTTATGTATCTTTGCGGGATTACTACAACTTTGAATCTCCTCCTCAAGCTGGGCTAATAGATTTCCGAACCAATCTTTCCAAATTCATTCAGCGCCCAATTTGGCATTTGACATTTGACTTTTGCTATTGGCAATCTGACTTTGAGCTCAAATATCTTGGTGATGAGCTGTCCAATTTAAGCATTCTTTGTATCATTAGATGCGCCAAGTCTTTCTCTGTCGATTGGTATAAAAACTATTTAAATTGAACAGCCCAACACCAAGATATTTGAGTTCAATGTTAGATTGCCAATGGCAAAAGGGGCGGGGCGCGTATAAAAGGCGCCCCGCCATCAAATGTTCGATAACCTTCAGATAATGACAGATCTGGCTTAGACATCATCCGGGTACTGTAGCTTTGGAACACAGTCTACAGAACAGTCAAGCGGGGTACTGAGCTCAAATTAGATTGCTAATGGCAAAGGGGGCGAGCGCCTTTTATACACCCCGCCCCTTTTTACGCGCCCGGCCCCTTTGCCATTGGCAATCCAACTTTGTTCTAACTAGATCAAAATCACTAGATCAAACTAGGCAATCTAACTAGATTGCCAATGGCAAAGGGGGCGGGGCGTATAAAAGGCGTTCCGCCACCTTTGCCATTGGCAATCCAACTTTGAGCTCAAATATCTTGGTGTTGGGCTGTTCAATTTAAATAGTTTTTGTACCAATCGACAGAGAAAGACCTGACGCATCTAATGATACCAAGAATATTGAAATCGAACAGCGCAACACCAAGAAATTTGAGCTCGCAGTTAGATTGCCAATGGCAAAGGGGACGGGGCGGGTATCAAATGCCTCACAATCTTGCCGCTAGAGAGGGCTTTATGCTTTATGCCTTATGCTTTATGCTTTATGCTTTATGCGTCACTATGCCCAAACTTTGGGGATCGATTTTTCTGCAAAATTGCGAGAAAAGTGGGACCAAAATGGTCTAAATTCAATCAACTATATTCAAAATTAGAGCTGTCACTCCCCTTGCTCAGAAATATGAAAATTATGCCCAGAAGAAAATAATGAACCTTTTGGAATGAATGCGCAAGTGCTTTACTGTTTGAAAATTGATTTGTAACTAATAACTTTACTTTACCTGTAACATTCTTATCGGCGGTTGTGGTGATGTTGACGGGGGTGAGTACTGGTTAACAGCAAAGGCACCGATTGAAAGGAATCCAATGAAAACGAGGACCGAGCATTGATGGGAAAGATTAGGGAAAGATGGTCGGCTGACTGATTCAACATTGTAGTTGGGAGAATCTAAAAATCAATGAATAAATGTGAATTCAACAAACCAAACCTCGCACTTTGGTTCGTCGATTTCTCCTATTGTTATAGAGTAGCCCATCGTCAAAACTGCAACCAGGCCTTGGCTCGAGCATTTCGAAGATCAGTGCTGAGAAATCTAGGGTACTAATCCCTATGCAAAGTTTAATTTGTTTTAATTTGTATTTCAACTCCAATATTATTAGAAATTCGTGGATTAGATAGACAATATTAATAATAAAAGACTGAAATACTACTAATAATAAATTCGTTTACAGATTTGAACAAAAAGTACACCCTGTACAAAAAGTACAGGTGGTAATCATGAAGCAAAAAGGATTACGGTAACATATTCAACTTTTAAGGTTCAATGCTCTGTATTGGAATTCAATACTGTATTGGAAATAAAACTGTCATAAAATGAAGTCTACGGTATTTCAATAAGAAAGAAGAGGAAAATGAATGAATTGGGAGAATGAAACCCGTCTCGGATAATAAAAACATTCCAAAAGGAGGGGAATGTAAGGAAGAAAAGATTGGTTTTGAGACGGTTTACAGAAGAAGAAAAGACACATAACGGGGGAATAAAAAGACAAAAAAGAAAATCAACTTTGGGAAGGCTATGAAGAAACAAAAGGACAAACTGACGGAGAAAGAAAGAAAGAAAGAGGAAGAAAGAGGAAGGAGAAAGAAATGTTTTCATAGAAGGGAATCGTATGCGTAGATTCCGAATTTCGACAAATCAGACCTCGTTGACCCGTCAAATTTGGGCTAAAAGGCAAAAACTACGCAACTTAACGCTTTTCGGCAGTTTTTGCCTTTTAGCCCAAATTTGACGTGTCAGCGAGGTCTGATTTGTACGAAATTCGGAATTTACGCATACGATTCCCTTATATGGAAATATTTTTGAAGCTCTACGGCCTTGCCTAAGGCCTTTTCCAGCAAAAAAAAGGTGCGCAAATGTCCAGGTGCGCAAAAAAACGTCGCATTTGTCCCACCCCCTTGTTTATTGCTAATTTTCGCGCGACGTCGCATTCCAATTGACGTCTTCGTCATGTCGAGGTAGTCGATGGGAGCGTCGCGTCGTCGTTTCTTTTTCGTTTTTAAATCATTTGTATTTTTCAAGCGTTTTCATCTTAAATTTGAATTTCTGTCACAAATGTTCATTTTTGCACGACGTCGCATTCCAATTGACGTCGTCGTCATGTCGAGGTAGTCGATGGGAGCGTCGCGTCGTGGTTGATCCGGCATGGTCGATCCGCCAACGACTGAGAGTGACAAAACAACTTGTTTTGCGAACATGCGAACGTTTTAAGTCTCTTGGAACAAAGCAGGATCGAAAGGGACGTGGAAGACGTGTAACTTCGGCTGTTAAGACTGTTATCAAGAACGTCCGCGAGAGAATAAGACGCAACCCGGAGAGATCTGTTCGTCAAATGGCTCGTGAAATGAAAGTTCCTGATGCATCGAATTGTTCGAAAACGCTTAGGAATCAAAGCTTTCAAGAAAAACAAGTGTCACGGAATTATCGATGCTGCAAAAATTAAGAGAGAACAGCGTTGTGCTCAACTTCTTGCTCGGTTTCCTGGACAAGCTCAGGCTCAGGAAGGATTCTTTTCACCGATGAGAAATTTTTTACGGTCCAGCCAGTGTTGAACAAGCAAAATGATCGAATTTACGGCATTTCTAATCCCCACAAATCAGTTTCGCATTCTCTTCATCCGACCTCAGTGATGGTTTTTGCTGGAATCACTTACGACGAAAAAACTCCCCTAATCTTCGTTCCTGCTGGTGTCAAGATCAATGCGAATAACTATTTGGATGTCCTGAAAAACGAAGCTTTACGAGGCTTTACCATGGAACAAAAATCATTTTGGACGAAAAAGATGGACGTGTCAACAAGACGGAGCTCCGTTCGCCCGTTCAGTTCAGGATTGGTGTGACAAGAATTTTCCAGACTTTATCGCATTCAACGAATGGCCACCAATGTCGTCTGACCTAAATCCTCTCGACTACAGCGTCTGGGCCGTATTAGAAGCTAAGGCTTATCAAAAACCGAACAAAACTCTTGATTCTTTGAAGAAGGCTCTTCAAAAAGCATGGGATGAATTGAATCTCCCTTACTTGCGTGCCGACGACTTTGCAAAGCGCCTTCAGCTCTGTGTCAAGGATGACATATCCAATAATTGTTGTTTTTCCATTACTTTACTATCTAATTTGTTAAGAATAAAAGTTTCATCACAAGTTTTATACTAAAAAAAAGTTTTTTCAAGCTACCGTAATAATTCTAATAGAAGACCAGTCTCTATTAGAAGACCAGTCTCCAATAGAAGACCCTTTTGAAGGGAGGTTGAAAAATAGAAGACCAGTCTCTATTAGAAGACCAGTCTCTAACAGAAGACCAGTCTCTAACAGAAGACCAGTCTCTAACAGAAGACCAGTCTCTAATAGAAGACCAGTCTCTAACAGAAGACCAGTCTCTAATAGAAGACCAGTCTCTAATAGAAGACCAGTCTCTAATAGAAGACCAGTCTCTATTAGAAGACCAGTCTCTATTAGAAGACCAGTCTCTATTAGAAGACCAGTCTCTAATAGAAGACCCTTTGGGGAAGGGGTTGAAAATTAGAAGACCATGGTCTTCTATTAGAATTATTACGGTAGTTATCCGGTATCAGTAATTGTGGAACACCCTGCACATAGGTAACAAAAATAATCGTCTTTAAATCAAAAATTCGAACACTACAACTACAAATTTTAAGTTAGGCCTAAAAATGAACGGGAAAAATAAAATAATCCAAAAACTATCATCCAAAATTAATTAAAGGCGGCGACTTTGATGTTAGTGAAATTTCATATTTCATATTTCATCGAACCATAAAGTGTTCAATGTGTCATTGTCATTGTGTCGTTGTGTCGTTGTTATATGTCATTCAATAGCTCTTATCACGCTCTTTCAGAATACTGGATTGAATTTTTGTGGAATTCTATTTTCCAATGAAATTTCTTCAATATTCTGCGCCGAAAAGTCAAAATAATTTTTTTCACAAAAATCTAGCTGATAAACTAGGCTGAAAAAGCAAATTTCTGAATTCTACGCAAAAAGTTAATCGGGAACTGTTTTTTAATTTTGTGTTTTGGTCAATGGAAACGCGAGCTCTGAAACCTAGGTTTTTTAGAAGTGCGCGATTACAGGGCCCTGTAGTATACAGTATGCTTTAGTTTTTTTCAGAAAATCCAATAGTCTAAATGCTTTCAGTCTTTTCAAAAGCGTATTTTCTAAAGAAAATCTTGCGAAATCTTTCGTGAATAAGAGAGAAATTTAAAGAGAATAAGAGAGAAATTTAAAAATTCTTAAAAAGTTTTAAAACTAGTTTTAAAATTTACCCAGCCGAAAACACTTTCGACACCAAAATCACCTTGAAACGCTTCAGCTTTTTCAAAAGTTTAACTTGAAAAGTTCGTTGGTCAAAGTTAGATTATCTATTTGGAAGAGTCGATTCAGTTAAATGGTCCATAACTCCAGGCATAGAAACCCAAACAACTTCTGGTTTCTTTTATTAGAATCTACATGAAATTTGAGTAAAGAAATATAATATCCTCTTTGTAGATTTACCGATAAAAACATAGAGAAAATTAGCGTCAAAGTTCAGACAACTGTCTACCCTAGGTTACCCCATACCTAGGTTACCCCATACCTAGGTTACCCCATACCTAGGTTACCCCATACCTAGGTTACCTCATACCTAGGTTACCCCATACCTAGGTTACCCCATACCTAGGTTACCCCATACCTAGGTTATCCCATACCTAGGTTACCCCATACCTAGGTTACCCCATACCTAGGTTACCCCATACCTAGGTTGCCCCATACCTAGGTTACCCCATACCTAGGTTATCCCATACCTAGGTTATCCCATACCTAGGTTATCCCATACCTAGGTTATCCCATACCTAGGTTATCCCAGAGACGTTGGATTGAGTTGGCAATTTGTTGTCTCTAAAAATTAGGTTTTAGATTAAAATTTCGAAATATCTATCCATTTTGTTTTGATGTTTCAATTCTTTCACCAAAAATTTGTTGAATCACAAGGGTTTCTCTGGTAAAAACTAGAGAAAAATTCGTAAATCTGTGAATGAAAATGGTTGGAAAACGAGAAAATGGAAAAGAAAAAGAAGAAAAAGAAGAAAAAAAGAGGAAAAGAAGAACAAAAAAAGAAATGACCCCGAATCACCTCGTTTTTTACATTTTTTTTGTATTCAAAGGGTCGATAATGGTCGGGTTTTCGGAAAGAAAATTTACAATAGTGGAAATTCCTTGAATTAGACAGGGAAATGACAAGGGAAATGGCTGCTTTGCATATTCGTTTTTGAGTTTTGACGGGAAATTTCGAAATTTTTAAGAATCAAAGACCGGTTAGTGTAATCGCAAAGTTCACAAGGAAAAAGTAACACTAGAATGGGAGCAAATGAGCTAAACCATAGACGATTCGACGCAGAATTTCACGCTGATTCTGAATCTGTTTTCCGTTTTTGCAAAATGGCTTTTTATCAAAAGTTATACGTGTTTTAAGTTTAGGTGAAAGCGGTGAAAAATGTTAGAGTGAAAATGCGAAAATTTAGAAAGCTAATGCCTTTATGCCGAATGCCTTTATGCCTTTATGCCGAACGCCTTTATGGTTTTTTCTCACGCTTCACAAACCTGCCTTTGCGGCGTAGTGGCTAAAGCACTTGCATGCAAAACGAGCGCTCCGTCTTTTGCTCGAGTTCAATTCTTTTTTTGACAGAACTTTTGTTTTACTAGGCTTGGACTTAGTGCGTAGGCTAGCGGCTAGCGCCTAGCACTAAGTCTATTTGGGTTTGGGCTGAACCCCCATTTAGGCTTAGGCTTAGGCTTAGTCTTGGACTTAGTGCGTAGGCTTAGGCTAAGGCTAAGGCTAAGGCTAAGGCTAAGGCTTAGGCTTAGGCTTTGGCTTTGGCTTAGGCTTAGGCTTAGGCTTAGGCTTAGGCTTAGTCTTGGGCTTAGGCTTAGGCTTTGGCTTAGGCTTTGGCTTTGGCTTAGGCTTTGGCTTAGGCTCATTTGTATTAACACCTGAATTTTAAATAGTTTTAGGGCCAT